CTACTAACAAAAACAAAGAAATTCTTTTGAATAAGGCTAATAGTTGTTACTGTATCTATTGTGGACAAATTTGTCCCGTGCCATAGCCGCGCGGTCTGAGGCATCATGCTTCGGACCGGCAATACAGAATGCGCGGTTGTTCGAGTCTCGGGGGATGTATGGGACCGGTGCCAACCCAGCATCGTGAGGAAATTGGGGAGCTACAATGAGTAGCGTAATCCGGTCGTGCAAACTAGCAATGGCTGGGGTTTCGTTGTACTGACCAAACGTCACCCTATATCTGGTTGGATGATCGTTCACCTCTGCTTAGGCATGTGAACGTGAGGCCAGCAGTCAAGCTAGTCGGCTTTGGCTCTCTGGAGCTGTTACGCCACGGATTTAATTGTGGACAAAGTTGTTGATTCACCTTGCACCATTTTGTATATCCATTAGATATCGTATGTGCTACATCTTCATACTATGTTGTTCTTGATGATTCTTAGATTTTCCAGGAGAATGGCAATTTCTGTTAGGTATGTTGGAGGTCATTCTTTCTAGATCAAAGCAGTATCTGTAATTAATTTATCTGGTTTTGTTTCTGTTACCAAACACAGCCTCTTCCTGCTGTTATAATAGCACTATATCATGGTTACATTTAAAAGTAAGAAACACTTAACAACAAGATAATATATTTTGCAAGTTTCTGATGTGGCTATAACATGCCTTCCGGTTTATTCTCTTCTGCTTAGGATTTTAGTTTCAGCAATTACATGATATGCTAATTATTGTTGAATGACATCTCTTATTCTGCATTCTGCATATGAGGTCTGGCAATGAAATAACTGTACTGATGTTTTTATGTAGCCACTAGCAACACAGATAAGTTGACATGTGGCGGATCGCATGACTACATGCTTCAGCAGTTTTTTTTATTCAAATTATTATTCTATTTCAGTATATTTTGTTGTTGCAGAAAGTGTTACCCTGTAGTGGTATTTTGTTTGTTTGCCAAAACCATGAGTTGCGCTTGAAAATCATATTTAGTATTAAAAATGCTAACATGTACAAAAAAAAAATGTTCCAGCATGTTTATGGATCAGTTGCAGTTCCTTTCTGTACCTGACCCGTCTCTCCTCTCTCATTTCCTGCGTGTGGGAACTCCCTATTGGCTCAGATTATCTCGTCTTTCCCTGACTCTGGTTAGCGAGTTCTCGCTAACATAGTACTTCACCTGATTCTATATAAATTATTAACTTCCTGGCAACCCCTCTTAAGCTTTAAAGATGGAGACAGTGTGTTTCTCTGAAATGTTGGTATTTACCTACATTTCCACACAGTATTTCAGAAAATTAATTCTGGAACTCTGGTATTTTAAAGTGATTAGTAGGCTGGCTGATGTTTATAGAGGATTATTTCTACTGCTGCTGCTATGACTACAACAGTAGTAACAACAGAATGAGTCCAGTTATTGCATGTCAGATGTCATAAGTCTCGGAATAATTCCAGAATGCAAGGATAAGAATCACCGATCCTAAGAAGTGGATTATAACATGCCTTTAAGTTTTCGCTTAAATGTTTCCAAGTTTGAACAATCTGTCATTACTACATACTTATCACTGTGCCTTTTACTGCACTAATGGTGGCATGTATCTGTGCTGCTGCTTGGTGAATACATGAATTATATCTGTAGCTTATTTATGTGTTTGGCTGCTGGAAGTATTAGAATTTTTGTTGTCATTTAATCTTTTATATCCTAAGCTATTTCTAGTTGTCACCGGAGAAAATAATGTGAACAAGACTTGTCAAAGTCTCGCATCATTTTCAAATTAATTATTTGCCCAAATATTGCATGTTAACTGAATTGATATATGCAGGCATTATAAGTTATTGTGTAAATTATCTTTAAGTTAGGGATTGTGAATTATTTTTATGTTTGTTTTTTTCTGAAGACCCACTAGATTTTTAAGAGTTAGAAATTTTATGAATAAAGACCCATGATACAGTATTGTATTAAAGATATTCAGTTATCCAGTACTAAATTATCTCCACTGAAGATTGATTAACACTTGGGCTGCAATATGGTGTTAACTTCCGTAAGTGTGGGAATGTTTTCCAAGTGATCCAGAAGTTTAAACCCATTTTAATTGCAGTATATAAGAAAGTTGAAGGTGCCATCAATGTGTACATAACTGTAAATATGTTCTCCAGGACTCTGCATATGGTTTACACTTTAACCCTAAATGATGTGGCTAAGTGTGTTGGCAAGTTAACAGTCATTTTGACTGAAGATAATCACATCATTTTTAAAATATCTTCATAAATGTTCACATACCAAACAACTTGTGTAGCAGTAACATGCTGGACTTGCTCTCAGGAGTACTTGGTTTGAGTTCCGACCAGATTGCTGGCTGTTCTGTGGTTTGTTATTATGTTTGTTAGTCTCTTGGATAGATTCTGGGATATTACCTCTAAGTCGGGCACAACCGCCTCCTTCATTTCCTTAGCTGCTCACCATTCATGATCATCTTCTCATCCCATTTCATGCTGTGTAATGTCTGTATTTGAATCAGTTTCATCAAATAACCCAAGAATTAATCAGTTGACATTCACCAGATTGAAAAGGATTTCAAATAATATTCATGAAATGAGTGATAGAACTAAATGAACCATTCACTGAAAAGCTCATGAATCAGTTTTTGCATGCAGTAGAAAAATTATATGCAAGTAGGTTAGAAAGTTACTATCTTTCTCCCTATATATGTTATAGTCACTAAATAAAGTTAGTCCTGTGCATGCTTATAATAGTATTTGGCATATTTTCAGAACAACTAGAAGCTTCTCAGTTGGAATTGGATCGTCGCCGAGAGGAATGCATCCAGCTGCACAGCGTGTTGTCAAATCAGACAAAGGGACTGAAGAGTGTTGCGAGTAACAACTACAGTAGCCATATTGATATTATTAATGAAGATGGAGAACTGGTACTGGCCTTTGAAGCTCAGAAGAAAATTAATAGGTGTGTTATTTGGAAGAACGGTATCAGCAAAGATACTGCATTTGGTTAAGTCACAGCCACCTTCCATTTATGCTGCATTTAAGTACAGGTTTTTAAACTTTTTTTTTTACGGCTCTTGGTAGGTGTAATACTTGTATTCGGGAGGTACCAATTTCAAGTCTTGGCTGGATTATGCCATTGATTGAGGTTCTTGAGGCATATTTATAATTAAAAGTTGCAAAATGTGTCTACTGGCTTTGTCCTCTCTGTTTGTACATCTGTCCACATGTAACAGCTTCAGAATGGCTAAACAGGTTTTCATGAAATTTGATATTGGGGAGTTTTATGAAAGTTTGCAACTACATTCCAATTTTAGTTAAAATCAGATGGTAATGACTGACTCTTATACGAATACCTGTGTGCACTTTAGCACACAAAAGTTAGCAAAATGCAGCGTAAATTAAATATGTCAAGGAATCTATCACGTGCAGAATTAAAAGTGAAGATGCAAGAAAGGAGCTAAATATTTATTCACTAGAGGGAAGACTGTTTTTCTGAAGGTGGAAGGTTATTACTTTTATGCCATGTCACACAGGAACGTGTGAAATTATGGGTAAAGACATTTGTTTTTGTTCTGGTATATTGTATATAATATTTTATGGTTGGAGAAAATGGGGAATGGGTTTGTTAAGAGTTATGTTTTGAAAATGCACTATTGATACACAGGCAACTTGAAGATGAGCTGCAGGCAGAGAAAACTCGGTGGCAGGCTGAACGGAATGAATTTATGCAGGAGATAGAGAGGTTAAAGGAGGACAACGACCGTCAGCAGAAGCTACTTTCCGTTAACTTGATGAAGAGTCCCCAGACACAGACTGAGGCATTCATGCAGCATGAAATAACACGTCTCACATCAGAAAATCTTGTAAGTATGGACATTACTTGCTGAAGTAAAATTAATTATTTTGATAACCAAGGCAAATTTTATGACTAAAACAATTATTTCACACCTATGAACAGTTAAGACTACATCTAACCTAACCTAACCTATAACTAACTAACTAGATGGCTTACCGAACCCGAAGGTTCATCACCGAATTAACCAAAGCCCTCCACCGGACCCTGTCCTGGGCCAACGAAATCCAGTTTCCCTCGACTCCTATCTCCCATAGATCCCGCCTAACATTATCCTCCCATCTACGTCTAGGTCTCCCCGGCGGTCTCTTCCCCTCAGGCTTCCCAACCAATACCCGGTGCACACCTCTTCTGACTTAAATGTTTCTTTAGATGACTGTAACCTTCAGATCAGATCAAAGCATGCCAGATATGTGATGAGTTTTGGAAGTCTGGAAGCAAAAGTTCTTTGGCCTTTCATATTCTTAGAATATTAATCACCAAGGGAATTGTTTTTGAAAAGAAAAATGTTTTCCCATAGCTAAAAGGACTCATCTTGCAGTAATATACAGGATGTAGGATGTTGAAGTGATTACTGTGAAAGTCTTTAACAGATATAAAACCATATTTTTAAACTGCTCTCTACTTCTAGATCAACTTAACTCATTGATATACTTCTACAGCTGCAGATTGCCCGCCATTTTTACATTAATTGTTAGATGGCTCTGAAATGTCATTGGATAAAACTTGGTGTATGTTGTACAACATGCACATGGTATACATATAAGATATTTTTGTGTCATTTTGGTGACATTTGCTTCGAAATATTCAAATTTATTTTTTGTAGGTATTTGGCAAAGAAAAGTAAACAGTATATTTATGATTTAACTACAGTGAAACCTCGATGCATCGTTTTCGGCGGGGGTGGGAAATAAAAACGATGAATGCGGGAAAACGATAGATGCGGGAAAGCATTAAAAATTTAAAAGTCGTCTTCCTCTTCCTCACCGCTCCAACCCCCTTTGCGGACAATCACAGGAAGAATGGAAATACTATTACTGCGGAACTCAACGAAACGTAGCTGTAGAAGACACGATATGAACCAGAAGAATGAAAAAGTTTCGCTCGCCTTTCCTTTGTACTTATAATAAAAGCATTTGTGAAGAAATTCACACTGCACATGCCATCTGGCATCGCTGGAACGAAATATGAGTGCACCCAAATTAAAATCGTAAAATTTCTGACAATGAGCACCGCCATTCACTCCAACTATCACCCCTGCACCGCTGACCCCTCATTCCAAAAGAATCTGTGCTGGTTGGGCGACATAACAGGTTACCGCTACTGTTTATTCCAAAAACATTGTGCGTCTTTCGGTATTAATTTATCTCTAAACCCAGCATTTTAAATTCTCAGGAACGATCATTGCGGGAAAATTGTGGGCCGGGACTAAGATTTTTGAACGATCGATGCGATAAAACGATAGTTCGAGGAACGATAGAAGCGGGAAAATGTAACATTATTTTATATGGGATGTATTCGGGACCGAACAAAACGGACGATGCATCCAGGAAACCGATAGTTCCGGGAACGATGGATAGAGGTTTCACTGTAGAATAGTTCTGTATTTAACATGATTTTCTTGATGTCTTTCTAGTGCAGGAAGTCTGTTGATGCTTATTTTTATTTTTATTGCAGGATCTGCAAGAAAAATTTGATGTTTTGTCAGAACAATGTAGAAAATACAGGAAACAGATTAAGCTTCTTGCAAAAAAACTAAAGGATGCAGGAGGTAAGTTTAAGGTTCTTTTGAACTGGAATATTACTTTATGAAATATTTTTAGCATAGCACAGGGCTGGTCTTTGATCTTATGAGGACGTAAGCTACATCAAATTTAGGAGGATCAAAAAATTTGAAAGTTGAAATATACATTTTTTATTCTGCCTGAAGGCAACATTAATAAGTAAACATGAAACTGGCACTGATGTACAAAGAAGACTATAAAGCTATACTTTTTTTCAAGGGTCCTCTTATTGTAAAGCCGAAAGCTATAACTTAGCATGTACATAAGTTGGGCACTACTTAAGAATCTTTGTAACAAACTATGTAAATTTTAATTCACTACTATAAGTTACTGTAATTAAATTATTTAAATTGTTGTTTGTGTCTTAGCAGTGATAATTATACTTAAGTAAGTTTCCAGAGGTGTAGTACCTGTCATCTTATCACATTTATCTGCCTACATGAAACAATGTTGTGCTAACTGAGTAGAGATTTAATGCAGGATATGTAAATGAATACTTGTTAAGCAAATTTTATTTCTAGTCACGTCAGGCTTTCAGTTGTTGTTGTATCGGTATGAAACTTCTGCTGTTGTGGCAGGTGTAAGCTGTTTATTTCATTCTGAAGAAATCAAGTAGAAGTTATGAAGCGAATTAGGTTTTGAGTGACATCGGTCCATCATTGTTACCAACACACGAAGATGACTGTGCTGCTCTTAGTGAACATGATTGTTATGATGTCCTGTCAACTTTTTAAACCTTGTTTTTTTCAGAATGCTTTATAAGATACAGGCATTTTAGTGTGCGCTCAGAGTTAAGTGAATTGGGATTTTAAAATTGTCTTGTGTTTAGAAACGTTTACGTAATATTTAATATGCCTTAACACAGTAGTATACAAATGAATTAATTATATTGCCATTTCTATTTAAATACACTGTGAAAATACTGATGTCTAGGTTGCATGACAAAAATGTTTGTCCATTAATAACTGCCTTATTAAGTGCACATGCTGTCTTCTGTAATGCTGCACCTTTTACTCTGGTAGATGTTTATCGACATTTTTGCTGCCTCCATCATTAGTGTGATGAGTGACTCAATGCCCTGATGTTGGAGGCAGTCAAATGTCGGTAAACTTTACTAGACAGCTCAGCCCAACATCCCAGAAGACAGTCATCTTCTAAGAATGTACCTGCCCAGTAACAATTATAACTTGAGATTTTTTATTGCCTCTACCTTTCAAAATAACACATGTATGTTAATTGTGTTCGCTTTTGTTACTTGGCATTTAACATTGATAGTTGTTTGGCGAGTTATTAATATCTCATTTAACAAGTAGAATTCAGTGCAAATGCAACCCATAAACAAGCACTGTTTAGTGATACTTAACGCTATGAACTTAAAGGCATATGGTGCATGTAATTAATTACTACTGGCCTATAAAAGGATAGTTGCTAGTTACACCACTCAGTATGTAGATTGTAGATTTAGTGTGCAGGCGTTAATGAAATTGGGATGTTGTCAGTAACCGAAGCTGTGAATGATGGTGATGCCGTTTCTTCCCCTGCTGGCATATTACCTCAGGACCAACGCAGTAACCTGCCTGTGGTGCGTAAGAAAGAACGTGATTACTTGGGCATGTTTGAATATCGCAAGGAAGATGAACAGATCATTGTCAGACATCTCATATATGGTAGGTTATTTGTGTGCGTACTTGCTTATGTGCACATGGTGTGTGTGTGTGAGAGTGAGTGTGGTGTACAGAGAAGGTAAGAGTAGGAGGTAATGGTTGACTTTTAATGTACTTGCTCAAAATTAGCATTATTACTTGTGCAATGAGCAGTCATGAGAACCACACCGCCATCTGGCAAGTTGGCGTAGTAGTAACATTCTAGACTTGTGTTAAGGAATTATTTATTTTGAGTCTTGGCCTGGTTACCATTTATCATGATTGAGATTTCTTATAATATGGGTAGATGTTCACCAAGACTCCAGAAATGGTAATTGCCAATATATTTACAGTTGCATGGAGAAATAGATGATTGATTGGTCAGTTTGGCCATATTGCAGATATGTCCTCCACATATTTATGCCAACATTTCAGTTTGATCAGGCTGGATCTGATGACCTCCTTGAAAAATGGCATGAATGTATTTGCTGATAAAGTGGAGACAATTTTGTATTCTCATTACATGTAGCACTATGCCAAACACTGTTCGTATCTCTGTCGTTGTGGAACTAGCGTACATTCACATGTGTTGTATTAAAGTACTAGACCTCTCACCCATGAATCTAGTGAAGTTCTCGTAGAATGAGGATCAAGCTACCAGCGTGTTCTACGCTATTGAGTGTTAAATTTGAAGGGGAGTGTATGAATTCATCCCATTCTGATTATTGGTCATTTTAAATAGTTATTACTGCTGGATCAAGCCACAGATATTTTAACACTCTAGAATTATTTGTGGATTGGTATATCAGACTAAATGATCCTGGGTAGCTCAGTCAGTATAATGTTTTGTCTGTGGACTGGATCCCCAACGGGCATGGAATTTTTCTTCTAGCCCCTCTGGTGCCTACCCAGCTTTCTGTCCGGTGGGTACTTGGGGTCCTTTCCCCAGGGAGCAAAGCATACCCACGGTGTGAATCTGACCACTCACTCGCATCTAGTGCTGAGGTCAAGAACGAGTAGGATCTATAAATCTTCTCTTCCCAAGCACCTCTGTAGTGTGTAGTGGGACAGACTTATTTTTATATCAGACTACAGTCAAAGTGAGATGGTGGTAGAAGAACATAAATATCATAGAAAATGATATTTATGCTGTAATTTATTTTAATTTAATTTGTACTTAGTAATGTGTTACCTCCAAAAAATGTGTGAAAAGCTTGAAATTGTTGTCTTTTAGATTTGAAACCCCGTGTGGCAGTGAGTCTCCTGCCAGGGTTGCCAGCATACATCTTGTTCATGTGTATCAGGCACACGGATTTCACAAATGATGATGAAAAGGTTCGGTCGCTTCTGACAGCTACCATCAACACTATTAAGAAGGTCATTAAGAAGCGTCATGAAGACTTGGATACAACAGTCTTGTGGCTGTCGAACACGCTGCGATTGCTGCATAATCTGAAGCAATACAGCGGTGACAAGACCTTCCAGGCTGAAAACACACCCAAGCAGATTGAACAGTGTCTACACAACTTTGACTTGTCAGAGTATCGGCAAGTCTTATCTGATATCGCCGTGTGGATTTATCAGGTATGCATTTATATGCTGTTACAGCACATTATTTTATTCTTGTATGATTTTAAGATGAAAGTTGTGAGCTATATAAATTCTAGTGACTAAACAATTGCAATGTTTTATTTGCTCATAAAACTTACTACATTGTAGACATGACAACTAACCATGAAATATTAAAATTTTACCTGCAGGGTGTGATTCGGCACCTGGAAGAAAGGGTACAACCCATGATTGTGCCAGCCATATTGGAGCATGAAGCAATATCAGGTCTTTCTGGCCAGAAACCTGGAGGCATGCGAGGTCGGGCATCATCTGTTGTTCGGGAGCCAGAGTCACCAGTGGACATCCAGAAGGCTCTGGATACGTTACTGCAGGAATTGTCTTCATTCCATCGCAGCCTCGGTTTTCATGGAGTGGACCCGGAACTTATTGTTCAGGTCTTCAGACAGGTCAGTTTTTATGATGTTATTGTTTCTTACCAACAATTTGTCTCTTGATAACCTGTAGATTGTAGAGGTTTCTGGAATTGGTGTGGAAAGAAAAAATTGGGCCCTATTATTGTTAGAGTAATGGGTACTTGTTGGTTATCGGGACACAAAACGGGAGAGCAGAATATCTGGACCTGCATATCCAAATAAAATATAATAATTTGTCATTTATTGAAATGAAATATAATAACTTTCAAGTGTATGTCATTTATCCATACACATTAAACTAACCTAACCTATTTTTAAAGCGATGTGTCCCGATAATCCACAAGTACCGAGTAATGAAATAGGGAATGTAACATGCATAAAAAAATAGGAAATGCATACAAAACATTTATGACAGAACTCTTAATCAGGGAGTAAAATTTATGGAAGTCTGCACAGGTTAACTCAGGCTGCGTTATGTCGTGAATCATTCCTTCTAAAATTTAAGGTACATTTAAGCCAGTTTGTTCAATTTGTAAACTTTGTGTCAGCAAACATATTTTTAAGCCAAGCCAGGTCAGATAAGCTTGTAAAATTTCTGTCGGCTGCTTCAAATCCAAAGTGGTGTGATGAAACGTGAGGTTTTGAGTGCTTGAGGATGCAATGTGTATGAATAACTGAAGTATCAGTTTGTACTACTTTTTATGAAGCTGAAGTATTAGATATTATAAATTTTATTAGAATTTAGATCTTGAAGAGCTAATTTTGTGTTCTGCTTTGAACTGAATAGTCCTATTCTGTGTTGTTGCAGTTGTTTTATTTCATCTGCGCAAGTTCTTTGAACAACTTGCTTCTGAGGAAAGACCTGTGCCACTGGACGAAGGGCATGCAGATCCGATACAATCTGTCGCATCTTGAGCAGTGGATCAGGGACCAGCGAATGCAGGTCGGAATAGGACTGCGCTTAATGATATAATTTGTTTTGAAGTTACAATATGAATCTGAAATAATATAATAAAATTGACCTACGGTTTCTTAATCTATTCTTATGTTTGTTTCAGGAAACAAATGTGCCGGACACATTGCAACCCATCATCCAGGCCGCTCAATTGTTGCAGGCTAGGAAGACAGACGAAGATGTTCAGAGCGTCTGCGATATGTGTGACAAGCTATCTATGTTTCAGGTAAGTTGCTTAAAAATGTATTTGAATTCTGAATTTCGAGAGGAGTATTTAATGAATCCTGTGCATCAGAAATGTCACTTCTGACTTAGGCGACAAGATGGCTTCCATTCTGCTTGTCATTGGAACGGATGAACATCATATTATTCAGCAATGTCTAGGGAGACAAATAATACTGTTTTGGTGTGTGATGTCGTTAGAAACAGTCTCCCTTGTGGAATGTAACAGTGCAGCAGTTCCTTGTATGAAAAACTTCAGATTTAATTTTTGTTAATTTAGCGCATGCTGTTGGTATAAACAAAAAGAAGAACTTAGTAGAGCTTGTGGTTGTGCCATTGCTTGTGTGTATTAAAAAATAAAATACAATTGCAAAGGTGTTCTTTATACTGCACACTGCGTAATGATATCTCCTTACATGTATATAAGAATAGTAATTGACCCTTTAAAGGTGAAGCTCATCAAAATAATGCTTAAGAATTTAGTCTGTACCTCAAAGAAAACATTACATTTTACCATTACAAAGATTAACTTTGTTAACGCTGTTTAAGGAAATAATTTCTGCTTATAGTGAGAATCATATGAAGCATATAAAATACAAAATGAAGAGTTATTAATTGCTGTGTAATGTGAAAGCACAATTCTGAGTTGGAGTTGTTATCGTTGATTTGTGTCCCGTTTCTATTACAGATAATCAAGATTCTTAACCTTTACACACCTGCAGATGAGTTTGAGGAGCGCGTTCCAGTCTCTTTCATACGGAAGATTCAGGCAACATTACAGGAACGCACTGAATCGCAGGAACAGGTGAGGCTGTGGTACATTGTAATTGTGAAGTCACTTCCAGTATGTTGTGTCCACAGTTTTTGATCTGTGAACAGTTTGCCCCATATGTTCCTGTCTTTGCTTATTTACTTTTTTAGTCCACAGACAAATAGTCAAGTATTTTTTGTCCAAAGACATGTCCACTGCTGATTTTTCAGACTTCATCTATATTATTGAGATGTCAGAGTAATAATGTCTTCCAATAAAAATAATTAAATCACAAAGTTAGGTCTTCTTTATGCTCTGGAATGAGTAAGGAACTCCTTATGGACTATGCCACCTGTGGGGCCTGCACTCCTGGATTTTCTTCCTAATCTTGCTTAAAACTGGGGTTAATACTCTTACAGCTTTATAAACCTCATATATTTGAATCTAAAAGTTTGTAATTTATATATAAAAAAAAGTTTCAGTAGCAAGTATATCAATTGTAAGACTTGAGGTTCTCACAGTGGTGAGTATGAAGATTTCCGTCTTCTGGGTTGTTGTGCTGTGTAGTCTGGTTGATGTTAACCAACGTTTCAGAGGTCATACTGCCTCCGTCATCAG